TTTTGTCTCTGAAAAGTAGTTGTTCGTAAACTGAATCTCGTTATATTCAACTAATCAATGTCTTTTACTGGGTGGTATTCACGAGGAAGTAAACAACCATTTGGGCAGCCTCCAAAAAAGATGTCCTTCCATTCTTCAAGCGCTCACAAGCAGGAAAACTTTTTCGAACAGCTTTTTCCCCTCTCAGTGTTGTATTTATTTTTACTGCAGCTCATTAAAAACCGTGTTTAATTAATTGCATAATTCATATTGATGAAATGAACGGCATTTCGATAGATGGAACCACATTTCAGTGCTCGCCTGACATTTGCCAACAAGGAAGAAACTGGAGAGGAAAATCCGCCGGACCTAGAACACCAGCGAGCAGAATCCCCCGTCTCCTGCTGTAGTTTCCATTCATGTTACTGTGGCTGGATCAATTCGTCAAAACAGCATCAACACTGTTTGACATATACTTGAGCAACAACAACGATAACAATAATGGGGGAAGATATGGAACAACGTGGGCCGAATACGAATGCGTCCCGTCCTGGTGCACCTCGGGATATCCATAATCAACTCGCATCCCAAAGCTTGGATTCGAATTCGAGAACAGATTCACACACTGCACCCAGTACAACAGATACAGTGACTCCCGGAAGAAATACGATAGCTGCAGCGCACCATCACCACCATCATCACCACCGCAATGAACTGGGCAACACATCGTCCTCATCCAGCGCCACTGGCTCGCCGATCAATGACGATAGTGGACATCGGAGCTATGGTACATAATTTTTTCGAATATTTTATTAACTTTAAGAGGTAGTGGACAGACACAAGTGTGCTGAGGATTTTTGCTTCTCCTTTTCGGGAAATGAGGTACTACTAAAAGACAGTCTCATTTTTGAGATTTTACAGAAGGGATATGAGAAGTATCCAAGAAATTTTTGCTCAAGATTCGTAAAACGTCACCAAAACAAGGGAATGCTTGGTATCAGTGTTCGCACTGACCTTTAAAGGTCAAAGTCAAAATTGATGGCGTGATTTAGCTCACTGTAGCGTGCTAGTATTAGTTTACCATAGAAACGAATAAACGAATTGTAGTGGG